TGACAAAGGTAAGTGCCCATGTGCCTGGACAGACTCCTCCAGCAGTGTCCTGGACACAGGACCATCAGGCACAGGCTGGAATTTGGTCCCTCTTTCTTTGGGGATGAACTACGGCAGCAAAGGGAGAATTTCCAGGGGTATCACAACTGATGCTGGTTGTGCTGCTCTTTTGTAGGAGGAAACCCACCCTGTTCCGCTCTGCGTGCTAAATTAGAAGTATGAGAGTTTCTTGTACATGCAGCTTGTTGTCTTGTGTTTGTGTGGAATGAAAGGCTGCAGAAGGGAGAGATGGGCTCAGGAAATGAAGCACTGGGTCTGAGTCCTGTGCCTGGGGAAATCCATTATTTGCTGGGTTTAATAGGATGCTTACAGATTAATCAGTCACCACAGAGGCTGTGAAACATATGCCAAATATTCTCCTTCCACTTTGGTGCCACCCTATTTACAAAGCAAGGGAAATAATCTCTTCTGTGGTATCTGCCACCCCTGCATTCCTTTAGGAAGCACTCACAGCAGCTGTTGTCTTCCGAATACCAGGCACCAAGGCCCAAGACTACTCCCATTACTACACAATTGGAGTTTGCTCCCTTATCGGCCCCTTTCTGCTGTTCCTGCTCCTCCGCATATGGCGGCGAGGTAGGTGGATCTGCTCCTGCATTTCTCCCTTTGAGGCTGCACCTCTGGGCATGTTCCTAGGGGATAAAGGCAGTGGAAGGATACCAAAGTATTCCTTCCCTAAGAGCTCCTTAGATGTGCCCCTCCTGCCATTCGTAAAAGGTTCCAAGTTTGTGATGCAGCTTAATGAAGCAGAAGCACGGCACAGGGCAGTTGGGGTGGCTTTCTGCAGAACTTGGATGTTTTAGTGCTGATACCAGAACTGAGATACAGCATCACATCTAATCCATAGAAGAGGTACAATTGATGGACTCAGAAATGCAGCCTCTGAGCATGGCTGTGATTATTTTGTTGTAGACACCTTAAAACTCCAGCTGGGGAGAACATCCTGGGATGTGTCCACTTGAAAATAAACCTGCAAGATGCAGGTCTCCGCAGCTTCCATCAACACCATTACCCCTGAGGATGGAAGGAAATGCATTATTTTCTAAGTGGTAGATTTCACTTGTACTTGGGTAAAATAGCCACAGAAATCTCCATCCTGACGACAAAATCCATGTCAGCCCCTGGTGAAAGTGCCAACAGTGCACCTCTGGGTTCCCAGGGCTTGGGGAGAGGGAGGGCACAACACATCTGTGTGTCTCTCAGGTACTAAAACTCTCTTTTTCTCAGGTGCATTGCGGAAGATGAGAACCGTTACACAGCAGCAGGTACAGGAAAATCTTCTGAAAGCTCCTTGGGTAAATGCTAACTGCCGGCTTCAGTATGATGCACTGAGCTGCAGGAATAGGTTGCTGAATATAAAATTAGGAAGTTAATTCAGTGCTGTAGGAGTAAGTTGTGAAGTGCCTGCCCTTCCCCCAGCTGCACAGTTCCCCTTTGCCCCCTTCCCAGAGCCCAGAGGAGCTGTTTTTAGGGACCTGAGAAGCTTGAGGACAGCTTTAACCAACAGCAGCATCGAGCAAGGACGGTTACATGCAGAGAAATATGGAGACAGTATTTCTTCCCTGATTGCCAGCCTTGTGAATTTATGTTCAGAATGTGTTTGGGGTCCATGTGGGCCATCTAGGGACTCATCTCATGCAGGGAGAGAAATAAAACCCAGAGGAAGAATCAAAGGAAACAAATAGGAAACATGAGAGCAGGACAGCCCCAGCTGCTCTGCAGGCCGTGTTTCATGTAGGAACTGGCTTTGTCTGAAAGGTCCTTGGCTAAAATAATCCTTGCTGCATGGGGGTCAGCAGCTCTGGATCCCTGCTAATTCCAGCACCTTTGGTGTTTTTTCTGTACTTCTCCAGGCCTCAAACACAGAGGATATCCACATGGAAAACACCGTGGTAAGGGACGTGGCAACAATTTATGCCACAGTTGGAGAAGACTTTGAAGAGACAAAACCAAGAGCATTACCAGAGACTCTCTACACATCCGTAAACTTCCCTCAACTGCCCTCTGCTTCGGCTCCGAACTTTGCAGGAGATAGATGTGCAGCAGAGCCAAGGTGATGCTGTTGCCACTCCGTCCCTTGTGATCAGACCTTTGGTGAGTCCCCTCCTGCCCATGGAGTGTTGTTTAAGTGCTTGGAGCAACAGATTATGGAAATGCATTAGTTTGCCTCAAACTGCAGTTTCTCTTGAATTTGAGGAATGATCTGCTTTTAGTTTCCTCTTGAGATTTCCGGAGATCACAGAGACTCTGAACACAAGAGAAAGGTGCCTAAAGCAAAAGCAAAACAACAGTTCACCCATGAGAAGCTCGCTTCCAGAGACATGCCTTAATTTGAGGGGTAATGGAGAGCACTGAATGTATTTCAGTCGTGCATCCCGGGGTCCCTTACCAATTGCTTGTCGTATTAAAAGAATGTACAAAGCTCTTTGGACCTGGTGTCCTTGTTTTTATGAGTATGCCAAGTAATACCTGAACAGACCATTTCTGAAATAAACTTTGCTCAACCTTGGGGTCCCACAGCAGTAGCATTTTAGGGTGTCTGCAAAATGCAATGAGAGCACAGATAATTTTGTTCCTCTTTGGGTTTAATGAAAAACTAGATAATATACTGAAACTTGGGGCCCCATCAGTAATAAATGGACATTAGGAGCGGGTAAGAGTGCTAGGCATCTCCCAACCACAACCAGGCTTGGAGACAGCACAGAAGCCTCTACTGCAGCCTCCCTCCCATTTGGGTGCTCCTGTGTGGTCTGGGATCATGTTCAAGAGGGATGACAATGGTAGTGGTGGTCAAAGCCCCTCTACTGGCACCAGCTGAAGTACAGGGCTGTTCTACCCTTGTGAAACCCTGCTGATGTTCATTACGGCAGTTTTTCTTCTGAAAACAGAAGTGCTTTGTGATGATAAAACCACAAATGCTGAAAAGCTGCCTTAGGTGAACAGTGCCTTTGCAGTGGTTATCATAAGACCTCAAGCATCAGGGAACAAGAAAGAACCAAAAAAGTGAAGCAGCAGCAAATAAGCGCACAGGAATTGTGGGTGTCAGTTTTGAGGCACTTGTGGTCACTGCCTTACTGTTTGTTCTTAAGCACAGCTGCAGTTGTCCCTGTCTAGCTTCTGAAAGGTTTGGAAACACCATCCAGGGAGAGCAAAAACTGCTGAGTGCACAGCCCTGCTCTTCTGCAGCTGCGAGCCCTTCAGGAAAGTCTCACAGGTGCCTACTAAGCAACAAAATAACCTCAATACTAAAGCAAAATTAATCCATAGATCTAAATTTGTAACAACTAGCATTCACTAAAAACTCAGCTGCATCACTGTGAGCCTTACATCTCCCAGAGCAGCTTCTTGGAGAAGACATCTTTGGAGAGCCCAGCTCCTGAAATGTCATCTGTTAAGAGGATCTGCAGGGCAGGAGGCATTAAATCCTCCCTGTGGGACTAGGATCTTGTAGGGTGGCAGCAGGGAGAGCTTGTAAGAGGTCCAAGTCCATGCTCAGCTGATGCACAGTGAGCAGAAATGCCCATCCTTCCATGGGATTTTTCAAGATCAGAAATTGACCTGACTGTGGCACCCAGCACATAACGAGCTGATCTCAGCTCAAATGCTTTTTGTAGGAACATGCTACAGGCTGCTGAGATGTGACACTAAGATTTGGGCAAGGTAATGCAGCTTCTCCCTTGGCATGAGAACATATATTAGCAAACAGTGGAAAGACTTTCTGCAGAGTGGCTGCTGTCTGTTGCTGGTGGCAAGGTGCAACACTGAGACCAGTTCTCTGCAGTTTTGTGCTAATGAGGCTTGCCAAGCCCTGCTCTCCATGCCGGGTCATACACAAGTGTGATAGCTGTGCTTGTAACATGGTGTGGTTGAAACTACACTTATTTGGTAGACTGCAAGAGTGGCCCAGGGGACAGGAAAGCAGGTCTTCATTCAGCAGGGAGGTGTGGGGAGCCATGGAATCATAGAATCATAAAGATTGGAAAAGACCCCTAGGATCATCTAGTCCTATCACAGCCACATCATGGATTCCCCGCGGCAACCCATGGTTCCTCTTGCATCCCACGCTATGTGCAAAACACAGAGCAAACTGCAGAAAGCAGTACAGCACAAACTACAAGAGAAAGGAGGAATGGTTGGCCGCAGTTTCTCCATAAGGTTTGTCTGCTGCCCAGTTCCTGCCTTCTTCCCTCCCCCCGCCCTGACGTTCTGCTCCCCTCTTGCTTCATGTTCTACCAGTGACATTTTGTCCCCACCTCCGCCATGTCGTGGCCTCTGACTTGTGCTGCAGCCTCATCGGCTGCCTCTGCCTTTCCATTTCCTCCTCTGAGCAACTTCTTCACAGGGCTTTGTGTCTCTGGCCCCTTCTCTGCCTGCCCTTTGTAGCTCTTAAAGGTCAGTGTGGCTTTCTTGTGGCTGCTAATGGCTTGGGGCTCACAGGCCCCCCCTCAGACACTGCTGGCTGCGTCTCAGAGTAGCTTCCTCTGCCGGATATTTGCAGCCTTTGATTTTAAAGACTCACGTAGTGCACTGTTCCTCTCAGCAGCCCTGCTGCTTGTCCTATGTCTTCCATGTTTTGACCCATCCCATGTGGCTGAAGGTCATCTCCTGCTGAGCACAACCTGCTCTGACTGGGGCAGGGTACCTGGTGACAAAGGGCATGGAAAATGCCAACATACCTGATGCCTTCTTCACCTCGGTCTTCACCAGTAAGACCAGTCTCTCTTGGTTGGAGAGGAGCAGGTTAGAGAGCACCCAAGCCAACTGGATGCATGTAGGCACATGGAGCCTGATGGGATGCCACCTATGAGCTCTGAGGAAGAGGCTGATGGCATGGCAAGGTTGCTCTGGATGATCTCTGTGAGGCTGTGGCAACTGGGAGAGGTTCATGAAGGCTGGTGGAGGGCAAACATCACTCCTGCATTCACAAAGGAGGACCAGGGGGAGCTCCAGCCTGGTCAGCCTCCCCTTGAATCGTGAGTAGGTGAGGGAAACCACTTCCCAACATATGACAGGCAAGAAATCTACTGGCAAGAGTCAGAGTGGATTTATGGATGAGAAACCCCACTGAACCAACCTGACGTGGCTCTGCACTGAAGTGGCTGGTTGCCAGATGAGAGCAGCGCAGTGGATGATGCTTCTCCTCAGCCTTAGCGAGGTTCTTCATGCCATCTCCCAAAACTTCCTCATAGAGAACCATGGGTTGGATAAATGAATGTATCACGTTGGTGGGGCAGAAGAATCAGGCCAAGACATTCAAAACCAAACAGAACGTGGTCCTGGTGACCATCTCTAAGAGACCTTGTGTGAGCAAGGCATCGGATTGGAAAAAGTGCCTGCAGGCCTCCACTGCCCTGCCATTCCAGGACATCCAATTTACTTAGAGCAAAAAAGTGTCATGGACTTCACCAGAACTGATCTGGTAGAGAAGTTGCAGTACTGATTTTTTCCTCTCTTTTAAAACTGTGTGGAGAATTTAGAAAAGCTCTGGTAAACCGTTCAGCCAAGCACCTTCCTGGCAAAGGCCAGGGTGCTCCAAACATCCTGCGAGAGCTATGCTGAGATCGACCAACAAACGTAATTTTTGTCTTTGTCCTGACACTTCTGACTTCTAGCAGAGACCAGTGATTGCCCCTTCATGACGAGCTGGGTTACAGCAACATGGGGCTGGGAGAGTGAGGCCTGAGGCTGTGCCTTTGGACAGGCTGTGACATTGGGTACATATGTGCTGATAGTCAGCTGCTCCTATCTCTCTGTAACCACGAGAAGGTGCTGTGGTCCAAAGCAGCGTGTGTGCAAACTCTTCCTTGCAGCCAATATTTACAGGTTCGTGCTGCTGTGTTTGCTGTTTGATCTTCAAAAGGTGCAGGGTGCAACACAAGTGCCGGAAAAGCTTTGGAAATGATTATGAAAGGATTTAACTAATTTTTCATGTCATCCATTTAAGATTAAATGTAGAATATGACTTCAAAATTTCCTTCCAACAAATTGTGGAAGGAATAATGTGGTGGAGTATCCTGATTGATAAATATGTCTCTGTGGAGAGGGGGGTATGGATGTTGGGGACATGGTGGGAGCACTGCCTGCAGGGAAGGGACAGAAGTGCTGCTCCCAGTGGCAAATCACATTTTGCTGCATTTAACACCAGCACCTTCACACTTGTTTTGGTTGCTTTTAGTTTTGTGGCTGTCCTGAGCATCCTGGCTGCAGCGTTATGACTGAATGCAAATGTCCGGTGATGTGACCCTGCACTGAGGAACTGAGGAACAGAGAGCCTGCAGTTTGCTAGGCACAGGAAAATAGAGAAGTTTTATTAAAAATGAAAATGCACTGTTGGCAATAAAATGGCGTGAAAAGATCCAAGTGGGAACAGCCTGTGCTTCAACAAAAAAAAAAAAGGAAAAATATGGGGGGGATCACAGGCTGCGAGAAATCATAGTGTTAGAAGCATCAAAACTCAGAGATGGGGCTGCAAGTGTTGCATGGGTTTCACATGTGGCTAAGAATGCTGAGGTAACCTTATCAGAAGCATCAGAGAAAGCTAAGACAGCCTACGTAGTGGTGTTGTAAATATTAAATTTAGGTGTGGATGTACTCCAGATGCTAAATTTGGGTGGTGAGGCACTGCAGCAGGTTGCCCAGAGAAGTTTTATAGAAGTGGTCAAAGTCAGGTTGGACAGGTTTTGAGCAACCTGATGTCGTGAGATGTTCCTGCCCATGGCAAGAGTTGGATCAGAGGATCATCCAACACAGACCACTTGGTGCTTCTATGCTGCTGCATAGCAAAATGAGGAACAATGTGGGGAAAGTAATCATGGGAGTATTTATTTAGAAAGAGACAAAGAAAGGGCCAAGAAGTGGGAAAGAGGGCAGTAAAATATGAAAGCCAAACATGGGTCAGAAAAGGGCTGCTGTCAGGTGTTTCAAATGAGTTTCTATGGCTCAGATGGAACATGGACAGGGGTGATGGAACTGCCAGACATCAACATGTTGGTGGTGCTTCCTTTGGGCTTGATAACATCCACCCATCACTTCCTAAGGCTTTGCAGCCTGGTCCCAGCATCCATCTCACTCTGGTTTTGATGACCCAGAGGGGCCAGATGGAGCCAGCCACGCTCAGCAGGCCAAGAAGCCTTTCTCTGGAGCTCTGGCTCCAAGCTCCAACCTTCCCAAGCCTCTCATCTCTCTGACCATTAAACGTGGTCCCTAGGTGCTCCTTCAGATCACACTCCCTTTAAAATGAAATTCCTCTTGCAGAAAGCTTGTGGCACATGGGTAATCCTATTCTACATCTGCCTTGGTGGAGTAACAGGTTAGGGGGTGAGAAACCACCTCAGGGAACAGGGATGCTCTCCGGGGGAAGATGCATGAGCTGTAAAAAAGAGATGGAAATGGATCTGCTGACCTCATCTGGAATTTATATTGCTTTCAGAATGGAAATAGGAACCCCTCCTGGAGTGGAGTGGGTTCTTCCTCTTGGGCTGTCCTGGCCACCAATTGCTGCATTTCTTGCAGAGGCACAGCCTGGCTCCTTAGCACAAGGTGCCCTGCTCCCTGCGGGAACGGGATCGGGATGGACATCACAACGCCGGGGCGGGAGCGGCTGCTGCAGGCAGAAACCTCCCAGGAAGGAGGAGAGGATGCAGCAAAGGCAGAGAGGAGCGGCCAGCGGGGAGACCTGAGCCTGGAGCCCAGCCTCAGCACTGCCCTCCAGAGCAGGGCCACCCAGCTCCTCGCAAGCAGTAACCTAACTTGGAATTAGTATTTTTTAAATACAGCGATTTTGAATCTTTTCTTCTCGACGGATGCTGCTGCACCACCCCGTGGAGCTGCTGGGGATGCTCCTGGCAGGTAAATGGGGGTTTGATGCCACCCCGTGGGCTCCAGTTTGAATCCTTACCTGGGGGCACACCAGCACAGGTGTAAGCAGTTAGGCAGTTATGCATGGGGATCGCTGGCCTACAAAGGGTCAGGTTTTTTGTGTGTGTTTTTTTTTTTTTTTTTCTTTTTTTAAAGTGGGGCTAAATGTTCATCCTGTAAGGGAAGAGTATGTCTGTTCTGTTAGTCAAAGGCAGAGGAGATAGAACCAGCTCAGGAGAATGGCACTGAGGCTAAAAGTTTTCTGCGGGTAGGTTGATGCAGAGATCAATATATGTGACAACACAACATTTATTGCAGTCATAGGAATAATCTTGCTGTATTTTTAGTGTATGTGCTGGCTGGCTTGAAGAGCAAATGGACAAAGGTTTCAGGCTGAGCATTTAAAATGGGAAAAAATATGCAGTTGTCCAGATGTTGTAGTGTTTGTGGATGCTGAGCACCTACATAATGAGCTTGGGCTATTGCAGTTGTGAAAAGATGTTTGTGATGGAGTATTTTCTCTTATTTCATGTTGATGATGCTGTGTGAAGAGTGTTCTTCTATAACAAGGGGATTTTCTGTTATAAACTCATTTATCCTCCTTGTACACATGTCTTAGATGATGGAGGCACAAGAATAAAGCCCCATGGCTGTTTGTAAAGGTTACCAGTATGAGAATTGGATAAACCGTCAGCTGGGCTCGTTTTGTTTGCCTTGTTATGGCTGACTTCTATCCTGTGTTGCAAAACTGTGAAGGGAAATAAAAAGTTTGCAGTCAGGAAGGATGGTTTTCAGGAGGGTTTGCAGTATGAATGTGTAGCAACAGCTTTCACTGGGGCAGGAACTGAGACATGGTGGAGAGAGAGGAGGAAGCACAGCCTTCACTGCCTGCTGGGTCTCTGCTGCTGCTCCTCACCTCGGGCCACCTCCAGCAGGACGCTCAGGGTTAGCCTGGCTGTCCTGCTAGGGGAAGAGGGCCTCAAGCAGAAATTCTGGAGCTTCCATCAGCAGAGGCATGGGTGTGTTTGTTATGCTGCTAGTGCCAGCAGCGATTCATTGGGTTTGTGCCTGGCTAAAAAACAACCTTTCTTTTACGACTGTTATCATTTCTAGCTAAACAAATACCATTCCTCTCATTTCCTCTTCCTCTAAACTAATTAAACTCATCTTCTTTATTTGTTTGCTTGTAAGGACTCCGTTTTACAAGCCAAGATTTTAGCAGTTATTTCTGTCTGGCTTTCCCTGAAAATTGTATTCCATTTGGTCTGGGAGCTGTGACCCCTTGAAGTGCTCAGAGCCTCATGAAAAACCCATAAACTGACATGCATTTTGGGGAAGCAGCTCTATCCCTCTCATGATGATTCCTCAGATGGGAGCAAATAGATGCTTTCAGCTCCAAACTAGATCAGGCACTGGGAATGAGATGCTTGGAAAGTGCCTTCTGGGCACAGACTGGTAGGGAAAGCAACCCTTATGCACAGAACTAGAGTAGAAAAGGCCTCAGCCCTGCAGGCAGATTCTCACATCACCCAATATGAGCTCCAGATGGGATATCACACTGCCTGAAGGAGATGGGTTGTAAGACATGAAGACCGAGCTGTCTAGATTCTACCTGTGTGTCCTTGGCACAGTGAGTACCATTCCCAAGACTTGTCTTCTCTTCATGTTCTTCTATCATCCAGGGATGCTGGTGCCTTTGAAACAGGCTGCAGAAGTGGAGAGAGCCCTGCAGAGAAGAGTGGCCATGGTGGGTTCCTCAGTGCTGCTTGCAGGGCCGCTTAACATCACGCTCATCCACTCCATATGGTGGGAGCACCTCAATGGCACTGCTTCCCACACCATCCTGCAGTATGAGAGGCACAACCTGACCATCCATATGCCATACATTGCACGAGCCCATCTGCATGCGTCCAATGGATCTCTCCTCCTGGAGGACCTCCAGGAAAGCGACAGTGGCATCTACAGAGTGACTGTCAACCAAGCAGAAAGGGAGAGCTTGTCAGTCTTGCTGGATGTCCTCAGTAAGTGGTGGCTATGAGAGAGAGGAGTGGGGTGATGGATGCAGGCAGTATTTTGAACATATATGGATTATCAGCCTAACAAAGGGGTATGGGGAAGAGATTTTTGAGCCAAGCCTTACAGGCAAGTGATGGGGAGCTTGGACCAGCTGTAGATAGAGACCTTCCCAGAACTCTGGGAGACCACCAGATCTGGTGATGCTTCTTCAGCATCAGGATATGACAAAGGGCTTGACCCCATACTGGAAGGTCTCTTCCATCCCTTCTTTTCTGCTCTCAGAAAGAGATGGAGAGGCTGGCAGTGTTGTGGCCGGTGTCACCCATGCTGCATCATTTCCAAGGAAAGCTGGCATCACTAACGGAGTGAAGCCCAGCAGGGTGGTCTTCATGCAAAAGTCACCAAAATCGTCCTTCACACACCATGCTGTCTGTGGCTGTTGGCTACTTCCAGGGACAAAATGCTGTTGCTGAGATAAAAGCATGCTTTAAATAACACATGAGTCTCTTCTTGATGTTGCTCTTGCCAATTCCCTTAATTTGCTCTGGTTATTTTCTTTCTAGTAATGCTGCTGCCATGATGTTACTGCAACATCTCTGCTGCAGAGAAATTTGCTTTCCTTTTCCTCTTTTTTTTTTCCCTCATGTACTAAATGTGCTCTGTTAACCCAAGTATGATTTAAAAAAATAAAATAAATGACTTAACTAGGAGTACCAAATAAATGCCAGAAAGCTCAGCACCCTTGTGCAGTGCAAGACTTTCTAGCAAAAGTCACCTGCAATCACATCCTTGCAGATTAAAGGATGCTTTAATGAACACTACCAGCCTGATCCCCTCTGTGGACGGTCCTGCTCAGGTCTGAGAGAAGTGCTGGTGTTTCTGTTTCCTTTCCAGAGCCCGTGTCTCACCCTCAGCTCTGGAGCAGTGGCCTGGTGGCCAAGGCAAGTGGTGAGGTACTGTGTGAGGTAGCAGAGGGCAGGGCAGACGTCTTCACCTGGAAGAAGGATGGGCAGATGCTTCCCCCGGACAGAAGTTACCACCTCTCTGGAAGCCTCAGTGTTTTGCCACTGAGGATGGTAAAGAAATCGGACTGTGGCTGCTATTCCTGCAATGCCAGCAATGGGATAAGTTGGCAGGAGACCTCCCTGAACGTCACTGTTGCAGGTGATCACTAAAATAGTGGCTAAAAATGAGCTTCCCGTGGGCTGCCCTGAGGGGCATGGAGAGATGCTGTTCTCCAGAACTCAACACTCTTCCTTTGCTCCACCTGTTGCCAATATCCCTTGGTTACTTCATTCTTCCTCCATCTCCCAAGGTCTTGCCACCCAGGATGTCCACGTGCTGTCAACCAGAGCTCGCTATTGTAGGATGATAGGAAGCAATTTGCAGTCTTCCGTCCCACCTCTAGCCGGCGCCAAGCCACAGATCTTGGTGCAATGAGCAGAAGAATTTGCCCATTCCTTCTTAGAGAATGTCCCTAAGCCTAGGTCAACATCACAACCCTTGGCTAAAGCAGTGGTGGGCAGGATATGGTCAAAGTGTTGGGCAGAGTGCCTGTGGGCAACATTTAATCCCAGCTGGGTGTTTCATGGACCAGAGCCTCCAGAAGAAATAAATCCATCAGCTAGTAAAGTGAGAAATCCAACCTACCCATGGTGGAACTCCATGGCCCACTAGAGCCCTCCATGCTGATCCTACTGTGACATTGCTCCCAGCTTCAGGGATTGTTTTCCTTTTTTTTTTCCCAGGTCTCTCCCCTCCCTTGCAGGATGTGCTGAGGATTTCAGTGGTTGCTCTGGTCTTTGCTGCTGTCTCAGGATGGGGCATAATTTTTCCTGTCTGCCAGTCTGAAAAGCTAAGAATAAGTGAGTCTGCACTGGGCTGAACACCCAGTTTTGTCTTCCAGTGGTGCTGAGTGAGGAGCAATGCTGTGGGAAGAGATGGTAACCAACTCATGCCCCCTTCCTGATGACTAAACATCTCCCCTTCTCATCTGGAGGCTTATCTTAAGAGTAAACTCTCCTTGGTGGTTGTTTTTTGTTTGTTTTAATGGAGAAAACTCATTTTGTTAAGTTCTCAGGTCAGGTTGAACCCTAGCATATCCTTACATAATTTTTGCTCAGAGCGTTGAGGTGACTGAGAGACACATTAATAGAAAATTGTAGCATCTCTGAATATTTTCATTCCGAGACTCCATTTTAATAAAGTATTTTATGTACTCTGTGCCATGGTTGCAGAGCCCTTTATAGCCATCCCTTCTTTTAAACGGGTCAACCCTACCATACCCTGGACAGGGACACCCCACTGCTGCATCCCACCCAAAAGGAGGGCTGGGGACTGGTGTGGGGCAGCCTGGGGGGACATAGATGTCACCCCACTCTGCTCTGATGTCTAGGGGGAGAGCTGTGGAGGTGGCTCAGTGCCTACACCTGTGGGCTGGTGTGCATCTCCTCCATCCTGGCTGGCACTGCTGGGCTCCTCTGGATGAGAGAAGAAGGTAAGAGGGGTTTTAGGGAGTGTTGCAGTGCAGATACCAATTCTTTCCCTCACAAAGGATACAGCATGCAAGAGTGATCATTGGAGTGGGGACCTTATGGGAGATGAACATCCATCTGAGTGTTGGCTGGAGAGGAGAAGGGCCCTTTATAGAGGATATGGACCCCTCGGGCTCAACATGTTGTCCTTGGCAAGCTGAGAAACCACCATACGAATTAGACACTCACTTATACTACTAATATGGTTGTTCTTCTTTTTCACAAAGCCTTTTCCCAGTGGGTAACTGCAGAAAGGCACTTAGAATGACCAAGGAATAGAGCTGCAAGTTGTGGGGGAGAAGGGGGGGTAGTGAGAATGGGGGAGGGGAGGTGACTGGAAAGTCCAGTCATGAGAAAGGGACATGATGGAGACTTACAAAACCCTGAAAATGGAAAAAGTGGTGCTCAGCTCTGTGCTGTTCTCTTCCAGGCCCATCCATTGCTGTCATACTGCCAGAGATTTTCCTTCTGTACGTGATCGTGATCACCTTCTTAGTGGCCTCCACAGTGACATTCCAGCCTACGAAGCTCATCCGGCTCCAAAGCACAGCAGGTGAGCTGTTCAAGAAAGGCAAGAATGGAGATAAAAGCAAATGATAAGGGGGTTTATTTTGCCACGCATCACTCATGTACAAAGTAATGCTGGCAGCCCCTGTCCACCTGTGGGAAGGCCACATTGACATGTCTTTCTTGTCCTTCCCATGGCCAGCACAGCGCACGATGGGCTACGCTGCTCCAGGAGGGGTGCTCCTGGTGGTGCTGACAAGCAGCTTCCACATGAAGAACATCCACCGGCGCCATGGTGAGGAAGCTGTCTGCCTTAGCCCTTCTGCTCTACCATTCAGAGCTGGGACTGCTCCAAAAATCCATCTAATTGCTGTTGTTTTCTTTTTTCTTTTTTTTTCCCAGAGATTTGCTTTTCTTTTTTTTTTTTTTTTCCTAGGTCTATTTAAGCAAGTTTTCATAGTGGCCAACTGCTTTTTTTCTTGTCTTTTCCTTCTGACTGTGTTTTCTGCTGCTTTTTCCTTATCTGACCACAGAAGAAGGCTGCGCGGCGTTCATGGACGTCACCACCCTTGTGGTCAGCACAGCAGCAGTGTTGGCCCTGCCGATCCTTGCCATCTTCCTCTGCTGTAAGTGCCCCCTCTTATTTCCCCGAGCCCAGTGTGAATTATTCAAAAGTTGTTTTTCCTCATTCCGAGAAGTCCTCCTAACCTCTCTGGTGACAATATCCCTTCCCTATCCCAGCCCCAGATGCCATCTCCTGAATTCAGTGCCCCATGCTGTGCCTCTCAGGTTGCTTTCAGTGATAAATGTGTTTTTTCACAGATCACACAACACAGGGGTGGCTGCAGAAACGTGACTCCAATTGTGCAGACATGGAAAGGTACAGCCTTCTTTCCCTTTTCCCATGTAAATTCATAAATATGATCTTGGAGTGAAAAGAGTGGGATATGGAAGCCAACACATGCTTTGTTCCAAAGTTTAGACCCCAAGAAAGGTGCAGACCAGCTCTCACCTCCCTGTCCCTGATTTCACCTCGGGTTTGTGATGGAATGCTCTGGTGGGGTCCACGTTCTGTCCAAATCCAATGCACAGCCTTAGTCAGCTTCTTTGTGCCCCAGCTATAACGACCCTGAGTTGGAGAAAGGAGCGTCACAGCTGTCTGTAGGGTCTTGCTGGGTTTGGAGATGTGCAAGGTTTTGGGCCTCAGGCATGGGGCAGGGCTGCACTTGTGGCTCCTCAGATGGTCAGCACATGGAATCACAGAATGGTTTGCATTGGGAGGGACCCTGAGGATCATTTGGTCCAACGCATCTATTAACAGATCAGGTTGCTCAAAGCCACATCCAACCTAACTTTAAGCACCTTCAGTGATGGAGCACTTACAACTTCTATTACACAGCACCCTCACTGTGAGACATTTCTTCCCTCCAGGTCCTTTGAGATGTCCCTGCCCATCAGCAAGGATCCTGATTTAACCTGCTAGACACTGGGGATGTTTCCTGTGTGGCTGGCTCAACATGTTAATGGATCTCAGTTTCATAGGTCTGAGACTATGATATTGGCGATATAAAGCAATGAAATTAATCATTTTTTGTCTTTTTCTTTAACACAGAACTAGGGGTTTCTGATGCACATTTTTCCATTTATTTTCCACTTTAAAACCAGGCTCTGAGTTAGAGAAATGCCTTTAAAACAAGTTACAAGTGTATCCGTTGCTAGTTTATGACATTAATGAGGCTGTGTATGTTTCTGAGTGTGTGTAGGTAACCAGCCATGTCCACCCCAGCCTTTTCCTGCTGCCACACAAGGCCGTGCTTGATGCTTCCTCTCCACATGCAGATGACATCAGGATGATTTGCACGTTTGCTCCCTGTGCACTTCCTGAAGACCTGTGCAAATGGCAGCATCCATGCCTGTGGAGACCTTCATGTGCTTTAAAACTATTTGTTTAAATGCAAATCCCTCTGTAGGAGCGCTGTGCTTGTCACTGGCTGTTGACAATGGCTCCTCTGCTCTCTGCTGGGTTTTTCTGCACAGGAAGGAAAAGATGAGGTGTTTCGGGGTGTGGTGTGTAGGCCAAGATATGAGTGTTGCTTGCACAGAGGATTTCCTGCCTCCACAGCAGTGTGGGGAGGGCATTCTCTGCTGGACGAGACTGGATCTGTTTCAGGGGTGAGGGTTAAGAATTCATTCCTTTCTGCAACTTTTAAAATCCTCTCCTTCAGTTCACCCCAAGCAGCAGTAGTTGAGTGCTCGCAGTTCTGCATGTGGGATCCTCGGGGCTGGCCCAAGGGGAAGCAAACGCAAATCAAACCCATGATGGGATTTTGCTGCCCTTTGTAAGGGAAGTAATCTCCCTGCAACAGCAAACTCTGACTGGTTACAGATGGCAGTACCTCCTCTGAGGGGCATAGGCCATGTTTGTCTATTTGCCCACCTTCTGTCACGGTTTCCTGTTGCCCTGATACTGTGGGTACGTGAAATTATCTATTGACTTTTTGTCTTTGCTTAGCAGACTGGTTTCTCTGCAATGCCATTAAGCTTTTAAAAAAAAAAAAAAAAAAAAAAAAAGTTATTTATTCTAGCAGGCTGAGGTAGGCAGTGGGATGCAATGATCAGACCATGGAGGGAGATGCTTGTCCCAGCACAGAGTGTCTCACTGTGGCACTGTTCCTCCCTAGAGGCAGCTCTTTGTATTTCCCTTTGCTGAGCCCCACGAGGTCCCTCAGCCCACTTAGTTCCACCCTGGATGCCAGTATCATCATTGGTGCCACCCATCCCAGTGTGGTGGCACTGCTGAAGATGCTGAGCCCTGGCACATAGTGCCAGCAGGATGCAGTGCTGCTACCCATGACTAAGCTGCTCTGCTGGTTGCCTGCCCAATGCAACGTTGACAAGAAGGACAGAGAAGGTAGCAGGCATAGCAGCTTTCAGGATCTCTAGCAGGGACCTCGAAGAGACCTTTTGCCAGCATTGATTTGAAGAAGTAATAGCACAAAATATTCTGTTAATATATCCTTACAAGCATAGCTGCTGAATTGTTGTATAATACAAGTAGTGCTTGCCTGCAACACCATAGTAACCTTTACATGCTATGGGTGATAATTGTGATGTAGCACTGAGAATGGGGAGGCACCTCCTAAGAGTGTTCTGTTTTAACATGATAGAAGTTATAACAACATAGTCAAACTTGCTAATGTTTGTTGATGGATACCCCTGCCCTGCAATCTGTTTAGGTAACAGAAAGAGCTGTGTCTCTGAATCAAGGAGATAAGGAAGTTCTGCTGAGGCTGGGTACCAAGAAAATAGGGGGTCCTGCTTGGAATGGATCACTGAATATGTAACATGCTCCTGGGAAAACTTCTGCTTAGACAACAGAAGTTATGTATATAAACAGAATATCTTTTGTGTAAGGTATGCATGATGGGAGGATTGCCCCATATTTCCCCAGTGCTGCCCATGAGAATAAATACCTTCTTAAAGGTAATAAAATTTTGCTGCTAAGTGTCTTTGCATCAATTCCTTCCACTGAGAGTGTCTTACCCTCTGGAGAGGCTGTCATCCAAAATCCAGGAAGAAAACCCTTTAACTCCAACATGGTGTTAGAAAGTGGCATTCCTTTATTCCTCACAATATGTATCAGATGACTTGAGGAGCACAACAGTGCTCTGTCAGCGCTCAGGTTCTACACTTACACAGTTAAGATAAACATATAAAATACGTTGGCATATATCTTCATTCTTTCTTAAGGACTCCTTAATATATGCTAATATCCCTCTGGGCATGCTCAGTGATACGTAGGGTGATCGAGTGCCCACCTACTTCCCCATTTTTCACCATCAGCTTCAGCACTGAGACTTTCTTGTTAAGCCATAGCGAGCCGCTATGTGGAACCCTAGGCAAGTCTTTGTCCGTGCTGAGGATGAAAGCGCTCTGCTATGACTGGAGGCAAACTATCAGAGAGCTGGCCTGTGGGAACAAGCACTGCCCTTGAAAGCTGAACAATAACGGCAACAGTGAAAGCAGGGGAGTTTTAAGGGGAGCTGCAAGAAGAGGTGAGTGCATGTATGGCCTGAGCTGGCTGGGTGCCGGCAGGGAGGGGCGGAGGGATGGGAAATGGGGAAACGGGGCAGAGCAAAAGGGGTAGGGGCAGAATGAAGGGGATGGAGCCGTGGGGCTGAAGCTATGGGGACGGGGGACCCTGTAATGCTTCCCAAATGGTGTTCCCGGTCTCCCCTGTAGGGTATCTGGTTCTGCACCTCTAGCTCAGCTCTTCCCTCTTGTCCAGCCCTATAAACAGCAAATCTATAGCGCTTCTGAAATAGCACTTCTGAAGCGTTTTAGAGCTGACAAACAACCTCTCACTGCCCGCCCAGCACTCCCCCAGCTGCCTGGCCCAACCTCTGATCATTGCTTGGCATCTCCCACACCTCCAGCACTAGCTGTGAGGCTCCCTAAAGCAGAGGTGCTCATCGCTGGCCTTTGGGCTGCAATTTTGCACAAAACTTCTTTTTAGATGGTTCATTTCCCTCCCACCCCCCTTTTGTAGTTACTCTCGCTTCTGTTAGAGCAGAAAATGAAGCACTCAAAAATCAGTTGCTGCAGTCTGCAGCAGCTGTGCTGAACTCCCAGCTGTCCTGCTGCGTGCAGACAGTGAAACTTGTTTTTTTGCTGCTATGTAACTGCCAGGAAGCGGTTTTTGATTTTTTTTTCTACTGTTTTTGACAGTTCTTTTGCTCAGTAAGGCAAAAGTGACTGAGGGAGAAGTTGCTCACAGCTGAGCTTTCTGATTGTTAATGTATTTAACCTTCTGAAGCTGAATGGTTCGTGTTTTTTCCGTTAGGGAAGTCTGCAGATAATAGCTTCTGCAGCACACTGCTACAAAACAGGAAGGAGATGAAATATTTGCCTGCTGTATATCAGCTCCATCCATATCTATTCCCAGTGTGCTTCTGCGTGCATTTATTCCCACTGAAGATCAGTCAGTAGTCAGTAAGCTCAGGGGCAGAGTGTGCACAGTGCTTCAGTGTGATGCGCATCACAACCTGATTCTGAGCTACCCTGGGAAAGGTACAAAGGTATGGGCATGGCAAGGTGTGAGATCTCCTGGGGTAAATCGAGGTGTAACAGCAACAAACAGTCTGTTAGATGTTTACTTATATCCCACTACAGTACTTAGATTGATCTAACTATTCCTTACTGGTGGTGAGCCATGATGATATGGTATGACTTGAAAAGAGAAAGATAAAGACAGAGAGATGTCACTACCCTTGGATCCAGTGATGCCACTTAATTAGGGCATAATTAGTTGCTCTGGTGGTGGGCACACACGTGAACGCCACTCTTCTGCCTCCTGTGTGCTTCCCCCACCCACTGCCCCCACTTCTGTCAGCTGCTGCAAATGTGACAGAGGCCTCTTGTGGTCAGCAGGCCTTCTCTAAAATGTGATCAAGGCTTTACTGCTGCGTAAGTGCAGCTTGAGATTTGGAATAATCTGTTAATGGGTCGGAGGGAATTCTGTGGGTCTCACTCTCTTCCTGCCCTCCTTGGGCACAAGCATCATTTGTGAGATGTCTCCTCCTTAATTAAGTTTGCCTGTTACAAAACCTGTGCTTTTCCTGTTTATTGGTGTGGCTGCTGATGCTGCCCCATATAAGGGTCATAAAATTGGGGAAGTAAACTCTGGAGGTCACCAAGCAGGTTCCCTACAGATTACACAGGAAAGTATCCAGGGTGGTAGTGAAGATCTGCAGAGGAGACTCCACCACCTCTCTTGAGCAGCCTGTCCCAATGTTCTGTCACTTTCATTTTGAAAATTTTTTCCTCGTATTCAAGTTTCAGTTTGTGCCATTTGTTCCTTGCCCCCTTGTTACACACCACTGAAAAGAGCTTGTTCCCCCCATGCACTTGACAGGAAAGCGCCAGCCTAGGACAGAGTTGATTTGGTTCATAGTGTCTGCTATGCTGCTGTTTTAGTTTTAGCATAAAAACAGTGTTGAAAGCAGGCTGTTGTTTTTATTGCCGTGGAGCAGCGCTGCACACAGCCAAAGACCTTTTCAGTCTTCAGTTTCTGGCTGCCAGTGAAGGGCTGGGGAGGCAGGGAGCTGGGAGGGGAGGGGACCAGGGCAGTGACCTCAACTTACTGCAGGGGTGTTCCATAATACATGACATTGTGAAGAAAATATGTGAAAAATAATGAGGAGTTGACTGAGCAGCTGCTGCTCAGTTGTCTTTTTTTTTACTTTTTCTTTCTATTCTGGGCTAAACTACATCACCGCCCTTTAGATACTTTTAAGCTTCGATAAGATCCCCTCTCAGTCTTCTCTTCTTCATGCTGAACAGCCCCAGATCCTTTACTCATATAGGAGATGCTCCAGGCCTCCCATCATCTTTGTGGTCCTCCACTGGATATAAAAGTTCCCTATCTTTCTTGAACTGAGGAGCCGAGAACTGAACACAGTGCTCCAGATGTGGCCTTACCAGGGCAGAGCAGAGAGGGAGGATCACTGCCCTTGTTCTCCTGGCCACACTCACATTAATGCACTGCAGGTTATCATTGGCCTCCTTGGCCACAAGAGCACACTGCTGGCTCATGGCTATGCTGTTGGCTACCAGGACACCCAGGTCCTTCTATGCAGAGTTCCTTTCCAGCAGGTCAGCCCAGAACTGGTACTGATCTATTCAGCATTCCTCCTCAGGTGTAGGACTCAGTTCTTGATCTCATTGGACCTCATCAGGTTCCCCTTCACCCAGCTCTTAGCCTGTCTGGGTTTCACTGAATGGCAGCACAGCCTTCTGGTGTGCCAGCCACTCCTCCTGGCTTTGTATCTTCAGCAAACCAGCTAGGGATACACACCTTCATCCAGTTCATTGATGAAGATGTCAAGCAAGACTAGATCCAGTACCAACCCCTGGGGAACTCCGGTAGTTAAAGGCTAGACTCTGCACTGCTGATCACAACACAGAGCTCTGCCAGTCAGCCAGTTCTCAGTCCACCTTGTCTGCCCATCTATCCCATGCTTCCTCAGCTTACTTACAAGGATGTTGTGAAGGACAGAAGCTTTGCTGAAGTCAAGGCAGACAACATCCACTGATCTCCCCTCACCTCCCCAGCCAGTCATAACATCACAGCAGGTTATTGTGTTCGTCAAGCAGGATTTCCCCATGGTGAATCCATGCTAATGCTCCAACTGGCAAAATGGAGAAGATAATTAGCACACCAGTGTTTTCTGCTTGTGCTCCCAGGGCTTTATATTCTTTGATCCTGCCCATGTTCCAGCTCCCAGTATAACCCATGCCCACATGGAAGAGCAGCAGTAGACAGCTGCCGTCTGGGGAGCCTCACTGCCTTGTAACAAAAGGCTCTTTGTGGGCCTGTCCTCCCTCTCTATGTTCAGCTAAAACTTCTTCCAACCTCTGCCCCCATGGAAAGTTTTAGCATTTGCTATCAATCCCACGCTGTAGCAAACATTCATGGGAGGAGGTGATTTTCAGTTCCTGGCACCGACTTCCTCACAGACAACAGAACTCCTCAGAGACTGAGATAACAAACTGATATTGACATGAATTCCTTTCCCCGGGGGACCTTATTTATTTCTCCCTATCGGAACCGGAGGAGGTGGAGGACGGATCTGTTTTATAAATTGCAGCAGCAGTTTGCAGAGGAACTTCATCACATGCCTGCTTGCAAACTTACTTCTCAGTGAAGCGATACTGCCTGGGTGCCTGGACAATGCTGGCTGTGGCCTGGAACATTTAATTCCTTTTCTGAGTGCTGCAGCTTTGTGCAATTCATCTGAGCTGGAGGAAGGTCCTCCAACCACCGCCCTTCCTCCAGGGGAGCCTTTCTTGCAAACTTGCCTTGTTCTTTACTGGGGGAACCTCAGCCCTTTCCTGGGTGCCTAGGGAGAGCTGGGACGGACACTAGGACCCAGATGCCCACTTTGGGAAATAGGGTGTGCCAGCTGGAAATCCTTCATCTCTAAATGGTGCCTCCTCCACAGCCCTTGCTCCCACATCCTTCAAATAGCAGTTTATACCAGTAAAGAATATTTTTCTTGTTTCCTCTTAAAAGCCTCAACTGTTTCTTGCCTAAACCTCAGACATCATGAGGATGCCGAAGAAAAGACTGGAAAGTGGCTGAATTTTGCATTAGCATTCCCACAGCCCTTTGTCCCATGATGTCCTCCAAGGTCACACGCATTTTGCAGAGGGAAAGCAGACCTCATTTCCTACTCTGCTCCACTTCAAAGATATTCTTTGAGCCCATGAAGCTCCACCAGCAGCCCTGAGTGTGTGCATTCACATACAAGCCTTGCCAGCAGGGCTCTGCAGCCTGCAGCAACCGCTCTGCCTCAGATAATGCAGTGCACGGAAGTTCACGTGATTTCTTCTAAAAGCTCATTTCCTGAAGTCCTTTGATCAGGGCAGAAGCCAGAGAGCAGCCATCAGCCCTTCGGTGGTGAGGAAAGCCAGGACTGGAAGTCTCCATCAC